CTTGGAACTTGTTCAGAGTAGCAATAATACTGACAAACTTCTCATCAACCAGGCTGTGATTCCTGTGCCAGATCAACCCAGGAGCCTTGTTCGGAGACCGGACCGAGGGGAAACTGATCCTCGAAATTATTGCTAGGTAACCTCAAGGTAGGGACCACCACAGGGAAAGTGAGAAGCCTACCCTTCCCCCCCTTCTTGAAAGCTGAGGGGAGAGCCGCCCCCCCCCCCAAAAAAAACTCAGGTAGCCAGGGGGGGACATTTACCACCCAACCCCCCCCTTACCCCAGGGTAGAGGGGAAACTCTACCACATTTTCCCTTATAAATCGATGAGGGAGGAACCCCCAAGTTCCTTACGAAATTTACGAACACTGTTCGTAATTTTTTACGAACACCTTGAACCCCTCTGGTGGTGTAGGCGCGTACCCCCCCCCCCCCGGGGTGGGCAGTGGGGGGGGGCGGGGTAGGCTGTCATGATGGCTACGCTTGATGAGTTTGATGACCCCTCCCCCCCCCCCATCATCACCCATCCACGACCCCCGGCCGCAGTTCGTCTCCTGACCCCTCTCAACCCCGCCATACTGCTGCTGCTGCTGTTCCTGCTGCTGCTGCTGTTCCTGCTTCTGCTGCTGGCGTTACAAGTAGCCACAACACTAGAAGCACCACCACCACAATCACTACCTCTACCACAATCACCACTACCACCATCACCATTACTTCCACCACCACCACTACCAGAGTGAGACCATGTACTCAGATTGAAGAAACAAGCAATATCTCTCTCATCGAAAATGATGATGAAATGTGCGAGAAACTCGATAAAATGTCCCACGCGGTCTTTACCATAGAGCCAGCATGGAGACCAAGGTTGCAAGATGAATGGCTGGAGGAAACACTGGATGACATCACTATAGCTTGCAGTCACTATAAAACACTTGATAAAATTCCTGGAGGATCTAGATATGACAAAATCAATGGTGCCCGACCTAATTTTACCACGGAGGCTCCGGAAATAATTTGTTAAATGTTATCAAATTGGGTTTAATAAAATGCTTGAAACAGGAAATCTCCCGCAAGTTTGGATTGAGGCTAATGTATTCCCAATCTTCAAAACAAGGGGATAATGGCACTAATCTACAGACCAGTGTCATTGCCGCCCGTCCTCTTTAACAAAGGCCAAAGTCCATTCCATTCAGCAGCCGACCCCAAAGAAGCATTCAAAAATTTTAACTATTTTTTTTGTTAATTTTGCCCCGAGGGGCGAGTTTATTGGGCAGCGCCACTCATCCTGTGAGTGGACACACCGCCATAGTGACAGTATTGGGCAGCGTCACTCATCCTGTGAGTGAACACACCGCCATAGTGACATAATTGGGCAGCGCCACTCATCCTGTGAGTGGACACACCGCCATAGTGACAGTATGGGGCAGCGTCACTCATCCTGTGAGTGGACACACCACCATAGTGACAGTATTGGGCAGCGCCACTCATCCTGTGAGTGGACACACCGCCATAGTGACAGTATGGGGCAGCGTCACTCATCCTATGAGTGGACACACCACCATAGTGACAGTATTGGGCAGCGCCACTCATCCTGTGAGTGGACACACCGCCATAGTGACATTATTGGGCAGTGTCACTCATCCTGTGAGTGGACACACCACCATAGTGACAGTATTGGGCAGCGCCACTCATCCTGTGAGTGGACACACCGCCATAGTGACAGTATTGGGCAGCGCCACTCATCCTGTGAGTGGACACACCGCCATAGTGACAGTATTGGGCAGCGTCACTCATCCTGTGAGTGGACACACCGCTATAGTGACAGTATTGGGCAGCGTCACTCATCCTGTGAGTGGACACACCACCATAGTGACAGTATTGGGCAGCGCCACTCATCCTGTGAGTGGACACACCGCCATAGTGACAGTATTGGGCAGCCCCACTCATCCTGTGAGTGGACACACCGCCATAGTGACAGTATTGGGCAGCGTCACTCATCCTGTGAGTGGACACACCACCATAGCAGCATGTACAACACTCCCCAATAGGAAGAAAACCCGTTGGGTTGTTCATCCTGTCACTTGTACCCAGACACAGCTGGGATTTACGTGGGTCGTTCAAAGTAGGAATTCACGAAGCAGTTACGCAAGCACTTACGAACCTGGGGCGAGATTCACGAAGCAGTTACGCAAGCACTTACGAACCTGGGGCGAGATTCACGAAGCAGTTACGCAAGCACTTACGAACCTGGGGCGAGATTCACGAAGCAGTTACGCAAGCACTTACGAACCTGGGGCGAGATTCATGAAGCAGTTACGCAAGCACTTACGAACGTGTACATCTTTCCTCAATCTTTGACGGTTTTGGTTACATTTATTAAACAGTTTACAAGCATGAAAACTTGCCAATCAACTGTTGTTATTGTTATAAACAGCCTCCTGGTGCTTCGGAGCTCATTAATTGTTTAATAATTGTAAACAAAGCCGCCAAAGATTGAGAAAAGATGTACAGGTTCGTAAGTGCTTGCGTAACTCTTCGTGAACCTGCGGGCCGCTCCAAGCAACAGTCTGGTGGACCAAACTCTCACAAGTCAAGCCTGGCCTTGGGCCGGGCTTGGGCAGTAAAAGGTGAAAATTATAGGTTATCTCACTATTACATGACCCAACCACTTGGGCTGGACGGTAGAGCGACGGTCTCGCTTCATGCAGGTCGGGGTTCAATCCCCGACCGTCTACAAGTGGTTGGGCACCATTCCTTCCCCCCGTCCCATCCCAAATCCTTATCCAGACCCGTTCCAAGTGCTATATAGTAGTAATATTACGACTTGGCGCTTCCTCCTCATAGTTCCCTTCACTAATACAGGGTCTGCCATACCCTGTAATACCCCTGGGCACGCCTGAGGCACCACCATGCCCTCCTGAAGCCAATCACTGCTAAGTTCTCCCTAAGTTAAGCCTTAAGTTCTACCCCTCATAGTGCTTATTCACTAAGTTAAGCCGTAAGTTCTACCTCCGCACAGCAGCTCGGCCTCCTAAGGTTTCCTAGCGTCAAGAAAATGGTCAGTTTAAAGTAGTCTCTCCTAACCTGCCAGAGGTCGTAAAACAGAAAACGGGACAGTGAGTCACTTTCGTCAGCCGCTTCCATTTTCTAGTATGACAGTTTTTGGGCTTATGTAACGTATACGTGCGAAATGCGACGTTCTTTGTAGGAGGACAGGCTGTAGGAGGACAGGCTGTAGGAGGACAGGTTGTAGGAGGACAGGTTGTAGGAGGACAGGTTGTAGGAGGACAGGTTGTAGGAGGACAGGCTGTAGGAGGACAGGTTGTAGGAGGACAGGTTGTAGGAGGACAGGTTGTAGGAGGACAGGCTGTAGCCGTCAATAGGAGGCTAGGAGGCCCCTAGGACATCTTGGAGATGCTAGGAGGCTCCTAGGACATCTTGGAGAGGCTAGGAGGCCCCTAGGACATCTTGGAGAGGCTAGGAGGCCCCTAGGACATCTTGGAGAGGCTAGGAGGCCCCCTAGGACATCTTGGAGAGGCTAGGAGGCCCCTAGGACATCTTGGAGACGCTAGCAGGGCCCCCTAGGACATCTTGGAAGGGCTAGCAGGCCCTCTAGGACATCTTTGAGAGGCTAGGAGGCCCCTAGGACATCTTGGAAGGGCTAGCAGGCCCTCTAGGACATCTTGGAGAGGCTAGGAGGCCCCTAGGACATCTTGGAAGGGCTAGCAGGCCCTCTAGGACATCTTGGAGAGGCTAGGAGGCCCCTAGGACATCTTAGAAGGGCTAGCAGGCCCTCTAGGACATCTTGGAGAGGCTAGGAGGCCCCTAGGACATCTTGGAAGGGCTAGCAGGCCCTCTAGGACATCTTTGAGAGGCTAGGAGGCCCCTAGGACATCTTGGAAGGGCTAGCAGGCCCTCTAGGACATCTTTGAGAGGCTAGGAGGCCCCTAGGACATCTTGGAAGGGCTAGCAAGCCCTCTAGGACATCTTGGAGAGGCTAGCAGGCCCCCTAGGACATCTTGGAAGGGCTAGCAGGCCCTCTAGGACATCTTTGAGAGGCTAGGAGGCCCCTAGGACATCTTGGAAGGGCTAGCAGGCCCTCTAGGACATCTTGGAGAGGCTAGGAGGCCCCTAAGACATCTTTGAGAGGCTAACGACACAGTTTACAGTGGTCCACTGACCCAACACCGTAACTGCTGGCATTTTAGAAAGGTGGGGAGGATATATACGCAGGCTGCCTGTCCCCGACAACGGGAATAAATCATTATGAACCCCCCCCCCCCCACTCCCTCTCTCGTGGTGGGTAATAAGGTTTAAACACTCAGTTGCTTGATATTGATACAAGTGACTTTATCAGATGGATTGCATTGTTGAACAGTGACTTCATAGCAATGGAAATTCCTCAGTGACTTCAGCAGCAGCAGTGCCAGGAGCAGCAGGACCAGCAGTGCCAGCAGCAGCAGCAGGAACAGCAGTGCCAGAAGCAGCAGGAACAGCAGGCCTAGTAGTGCCAGGAGCAGCAGGAACAGCAGGCCCAGCAGTGCCAGGAGCAGCATTGCCAGAAGTAGCAGTGCCAGGAGCAGCAGCAGGAGCAGCAGTGCCAGCAGGAGCAGCAGGAGGAGGGCGAGAGGGCGCCGTCCACCTTTATGTGAGAGAGAAGTCTCTCCCCTCGTCACTCTCCCTCGCTGGCACTCCTCCTCGCCCTCTCCCCTTCTACACTTTTATGTTATCTGCAGGGGAGAGCAGTGCCACCTGGCACCACCTGGCACCACCACCTGACACACCCTGGCACCTCCACCTGAGTAATTCCGGACCCCTAGGATTACGATTCCAGACCGCTGTCCACTCAGCCATTAGGACCCCCTTGTGTGTGAGTGTGTTAATCATATTACTGTAAACTACTCCAACTAAATCACTCTTGTATTCATCAACACGGCGATAAGATCCCATTCACAACAATAATGAATTCATTCTCCGATTCATTTAATCATGTACTCACAAGATTTGTATGTCGTGAACACTTCCCCTCTTACGGCTGCCACACGGATTTACCTGAAAAGACGAGAGAAAATCTAGATTAAGAATTTAGTTTACACAAAAATAAATCTACCAGTGAAAACCTTCGCTTTAAATGAATTAATAATAAATAATATTTAACATATAACAAGGTAATTTAGACACGTGGCTCCACACATGTTATACAAGTTATTTTTACATTTATATAGGCAGTCTTGGGTATACCTGGAACGTACCTGAAGACGGTTTCAAGAGTTCTACTCCCCGAGCCCCGCCTGGGGCCAGGCTCAACTCATCAAATACAGTGATGAACTCGATGATACGTAATACATTATGAAATACAGCTGTATCGAGCAGTGAGATACATAACTGCTGTGTGTGTGTGTACTCACCTAGTTGTGCTTGCGGGGGTTGAGCTCTGGCTCTTTGGTCCCGCCTCTCAACTGTCAATCAACAGGTGTACAGGTTCCTGAGCCTACTGGGCTCTATCATATCTACACTTGAAACTGTGTATGGAGTCAGCCTCCACCACATTACTGCCTAATGCTTCCTTGTGTGTGTGTGTGTGTAGATATATGAATAGCGAACTGGAAGTAGTGGAACAATAATTAACAATTTATCAACATTAAACATAACAAATCACTATTTAAAGTTGGCATCATTATAAGATAAAGACAATTTTCAAAGATAGAGTAAGTATATCATAATATAATTGGGGGGCCTGACGGCTGAGTGGACTGCACTCGGGATTCGTACTCTGAAGTTCCGGATTCGATCCCCGGTGGAGGCGGAAACAAATAGGCACAGTTTCTTTCACTCTGATGCCTCTGTTCACCAAGCAGTAAATAGGTACATGGGAGTTTAGACAGCTACGGGCTGCTTCCTTATGGGGGGGGGGATGTAAGGAGGAGACCTGGTCGAGGACCGGGCCGCGGGGACGCAAAGCCCCGAAATCATCTCAAGATAACCTCAACAAGATAATGGAAATTCCTTAATAATTCTAAATAGTCTTGTGAGTACCCAGCGCATAGATTCGAATCCGGATGACAGCTCCTGCTGCTGTGGCGGGACCCCAGCTTACCTTACCTTGAGGTGCTTCCGGGGCTTAGCGTCCCTGCGGCCCGGTCCTCGACCAGGCCTCCTGGTTGCCGGACTGATCAACCAGGCTGTTGGAGCTTGCTACAAGCATTCCTCCAGCTTGAAGTGGCTCTCTCTGCCTCTGTTTCCTCTCCTGCAGGCACTCCCTTACCCAGATCAGCGTCTTCCCTGCTAGTGTCTCCATCCTGCCTCTCGCTAGGAACAATGTCAAATGCTTTATGACAGTCGAGGAAGATGCAGTCGACCCGGTGTGTTCCAGCTCTATATTAGTTATCTAGATTGTATAACCCGTGAGTCGTTTCACCCCCCCCCCCCTCGCTGTTTACATGTATTACCCCTCTTGTAGGTGATTACTGGTGGTGGTAGAGGGTGGTGATGGTGGTAGCTAGCAGTGTCAGAGTCGTGGTGGTGGGGGGGGGGGGGAGGAGATAGTGTGAGAGGGCGCGTGTCCCTAGAGGGTAAAGGAGGATGGTGGCGAGTTCCGCCGCAGCCTACACCAAGATGCACCACCACTACCAGCACCACCACTACCAGCATCACCACTACCACCAGCACACAAGCCAGGGAGAACCAAGCATTCCCTCACCAACAAGGTCATTCTCCTCTTACCCTAACTACCACAGTCACCAGAACGACTCGCGACCACAGGACCAGCACGACCACCACTACACCACGACCACCCTACACCACGGCCACCTTACACCACGACCACCCTACAGCACGACCACAGGACCAGCACGACCACCACTACACCACGACCACCCTACACCACGGCCACCTTACACCACGACCACCCTACAGCACGACCACAGGACCAGCACGACCACCACTACACCACGACCACCCTCCGTTCCCACATCATCAATATACCCCTAAGTTAACGGGGCAACAAATAAGCCCTGATCACCGTCCCTGATTTAAGGGGTTGCCGGGAATTAGGGACCAAAAGCCGCTTCCTTAAATGACCCCTAATCCCCGCCCCTGATTCAGAAGAGCAGCCAACCGCTCTTGCCCCTTTCCCTGAAGTCAGGTCCAACACCCTGACTTCAGGTCCAACACCCTGACTTCAGGTCCAACACAACTGACTTCAGGTCCAACACAACTGACTTCAGGTCCAACACCCTGACTTCTGGTCCAACAGATTAATTTCCATAGGAGTCGTCCGCGTCGACGACCCTTACAGATAGTCGTCGACCAAGAGACCTAACAGCCTCGTTATTGTCGCTTCAGGGTCGCCTGGTGTAGCCCTTGAGGGCCGGGTCTTGCCTAAGGGGAAGTCAATTAAGGGGCCGGAAGCTTAAAACCCGCTAAGGGTTCACCATTATCGATTTAGGGCCGTCATCTTAGAAGGTGCAGGAGAGGTATAGCCAGGGTCCGTCCCATCGATTCAGGTCCTTTCCTCCCCCCTTGACCGTGAGGGAAGGGAGGCCCTTGGAGGGGGGGGAGGCCCTTGGAGGGGGGGAGGGGCCCTTGGAGGGGGGGAGAGGCCCTTGGAGGGGGAGGGGGGAGTAGGGACTGCAGCACCTGCGGGCAGTATCAGGTGGTGGTGAGATATAAGTCATTAATCTCGAATGGCCAGCCTACATTAATACCCCCTCCAGGCCCCACACCCCCCCACACCTGCCTTACACCCCCCCACACCTGTCCTTCACACTACCAGCCTTCTAGATCAACTCCTAGAAGACTCGATTCGTAGTCCTGAGATTCCGGGTTCGAACCGGAACCCGAAATTATCTCTTCAAAGCAAAGACAAGGAAGTAGCAGACTCGTATACCATGCTTGACGGCTGAGTGGACAGCGCTTCGGATTCGTAGCCCTGAGGTCCCGGGTTCGATCCCTAGTGGAGGCGGAAACAAATGGGCAGTTTCTTTCGCCCTGATGGCCTCTGTTCACCTAACAGTAAATAGGTACCTGGGAGTTAGACAGCTGCTACGGGCTGCTTCCTGGGGGTAACAAAAAGTAGGCCTGGTCGAGGACCGGGCCGCGGGGACGCTAAGCCCCGAAATCATCATAGGGAACATTAGACAAGCTGCTGCTGCTCCCAGGCTCCACGGGACCACAAGGTGAGGTGGAACCCAAGAGCTGAAGCTCAACCTCCTGCATGCACATAACCTGCTTTTGAGTACAACTTACATGTACAATATTTTAACCCAACTCACCGACCGAGAAAATTCACGCTATGAATTTTTCCTGTCTTCCTAAATCAAGGAAAATCAATGGACTAACACAATGCCTGTCGCCCTGCTTGGTATATGGGTCTCACTGAACTCAAAGACAACCTTTCGCACCTGGTACTTTGTATGTCTTTGTCAGTATACCTGAATATATCGGGCAGACGCACCAGCATAATGAAACGTGGTTCAGCTCTGGCACAGATGTGTATGTGGAGCACAGAGTGTAGCACAGTGGTTGCCAGGATCAGGTGGAGGTGCCGTTACCTGTGGCAGGTGGCTACAGGTGCCAGGATTAGGTGGAGCTGTCGTTACCTGTGGCAGGTGCCTACAGGTGCCAGGATCAGGTGGAGGTGCCGTTACCTGTGGCAGGTGGCTATAGGTGCCAGGATTAGGTGGAGCTGTCGTTACCTGTGGCAGGTGCCAGGATCAGGTGAAGCTGTCGTTAAATATTGGCAGGTGGCTACAGGTGCCAGGATCAGGTGGAGCTGCTGTTACCTATGGCAGGTGGCTACAGGTGCCAGGATCAGGTGGAGCTGCTTCTAGGTTCCCTCACCTTAAATGTCCTCCTCCTAGTTAGGTTCCTTCCTGACCTTCCCCCAGTTGGGAAGGTCGCTGAGGCCACGTCGGTCCATCCTTTAACAACAGCTCCTGCAGGGAGGTGTGGTCGTGCCTGGGGGTCGTACCACCCCCAGGAGGTCGTACCACCACCAGGAGGTCGTACCACCACCAGGAGGTCGTAGAACTGGGCCCGGGCTGATGGAACCCCGAGGTACAGAAGATAAGGCTCACCATCTTCTAAGTGGAGCAAGGAATGCTCAATTCCGTGGCACTGTACCTGCTCTTCTGTACCTCAGCCTGCTCCACGTATAAGCAATATCACCTGAACAATTGTACACGTTTTCAAGAGACAAAGACAAATGCCTTGAGGAAGTGCCGGATTAGCCAGGCTGTAGTGGCTGGATCAGCCTGCGGGCGCCTTCAACAACAGCCTGACTGAGCAAGTTATCACCTATAACAAGCACTGATCAGACCGGGCTTGTTGAGAGTCGAACTCTGGCGGAAAGTTGCGGTCGAAGAAGAGGAAGGAAAAGCCAGCTTCACCACCAGCAGCAGCAGAGGAAGCCAGCTTCACCAGCAGCAGCAGAGGGGCCCAGCAGCAGGAGTGTTGCCTGGTGTAGTGGGGGCTGAGGGCCCCACAGCCCCAAGGGGCCCCCACCGGCGGCGTCCTTGTGTGTGCGTGGCGGCGTATGGACCCTCCGCCACCGCCTCCACTCTAAGACAAAATAATTTCGAGGTTGCCGGCTGGTGGAGGCGCCCGCCTAGCCAGCGCCCAGAGACCTCCCCAATTACTGCCGCTCCTCCAGCTGCTGCTGCTGCTCCTGCTGCTGCTGCTGGCGCTGTTCCTGCTGGCTCAGACGCTGTTGTTGCTGCTGCTGCTGCAGCTGGTGCGGCTCTACTTCTTGCTACGCCTGCTGCCGGCGACGCTCCACCTGCTGCTGCCGGCGACGCTCCACCTGCTGCTGCCGGCGACGCTCCACCTGCTGCTGCCGGCGACGCTACACCTGCTGCTGCCGGCGACGCTCCACCTGCTGCTGCCGGCGACGCTCCCCCTGCTGCTGCCGGCGACGCTCCACCCGCTGCTGCCGGCGACGCTCCACCCGCTGCTGCCGGCGACGCTCCCCCTGCTGCTGCCGGCGACGCTCCACCTGCTGCTGCCGGCGACGCTCCACCTGCTGCTGCCGGCGACGCTACACCTGCTGCTGC